TGCGTCGGGCTATCAACTTGATCAGCTTGATATGCAATGCCAAAGTGAGAGGAATATGAGAGACCACGAGAAACACAAACCTCAATAAAAGTGACATACATTTCAATAAGAGATTGTGAACTTCCCATATGAGCATCAACCATCATAGTAACATCATCATCGTTGGAAAGATGAAATGATGTATATGTGAGTGGAAAAAGTTCAATAGGAAATCTATATTGAATAGAAGATAGTCTTCTCCGGCCTGTTAAACGAATCTTTAACGAACTTTTTGTGATTAACTCCGAAAGAGTGATATTTCTCTTCAAGGTTAAGGAGATATAATGATCAGATTAAAAAACAACCCCCTCTTCATATTCCTGAATTTCTCTATCATAGAAAACAACAGTAGAAAGACGACTCATTTTCAGAGAATACAAGTTTGAGAGTTTTGAGAAATTTAGAGTATGAAATTTTGAAAGCTTGGGAGCTGATGTGTGTTTTGAAAGTTTATAATACGCTGCATATAATAATGTCTTTAACCAGGATACCATTCACGTGAAAGCACGTTTCAGGGGGTATGCCTTCCCTTTTTTGTCAGAGAATATGTTATAATTGCCCTATTATGTGTGATGTCCCCCGGGGCACTATTTATGTCAGTACCTATCATGTTTAAGGGGATGCAACAAAGTGGTGAAAACGTATTCCAGGGGGCGCACCTTCCTTTTTTTTTTATCAGAGAATATGTTATAATTGCCCTATTATGTGTGATATCCCCCGGTGGGCACTATTCATGTCAGTACCTATCATGTTTGAGGGGACACAACAAAGTGGTGGAAGTGCGTTTCAGGGGGCGCGCCTTCCCTTTTTTGTCAGAGAATATGTTATAATTGCCCTATTATGTGTGATGTCCCCAGGGAGGTACTATTCATGTCAGTACCTATCATGTTTGAGGGGATGTAACAAAGTGGTGAAAGCGCGTTTCAAGGGGCACGCCTTCCTTTTTTTTGTTAGAGAATATGTTATAATTTCCCTATTATGTGTGATGTCCCCCAGGGGGAACTATTCATGTCAGTACCTATCATGTTTAAGGGGACGCAACAAAGTGGTGAAAGCACGTTTCAGGAGGTGCGACTTCCCTTTTTTTGTCAGACAATATGTTATAATTACCCTATTATGTGTGATGTCCCCCGGGTGGCACTATTCATTTCAGTACATATCATGTTTGAGTGGATGCAGGAATGTAGTGAAAACGCGTTTAAGGGGGCGCCTTTCTTTTTTTGTCAGATAATAGGTTATAATTTCCCTATTATGCTTGAAATTTATGTTAGAGTGTTGAATTTGATGTTAGAATGTGAAATTGTTTTGGAAGTTGAGCAAGTTAAGGATAAAATCATACATATGGATAAATTTAAGTTCATAACTTAAATTAAAGTGTTATGTGAAGTTTGGATAAATTAGATAAAATGAGTTAGAATGGTTAGGTTGAAGTGATAAAGTAAATATTTTTTAAATAATTTTTACAAGACAATGTAATTAACTTTCTTGGTGAACTATAATTGGAATATAACTTTGAATTTCGAATACAATTTTCAATTTTAATTGGAATATTTAGTTGAATTTGGATTTGCATTTTAAAAACATTTAACAAACATTTAATGTTGAATTTGAATTTATATTTTAAAAATAATGTTGTAACAACCATTAAACATTTAAATAACATTGAAAATGACATAAATTTGTGAAATACAACTATTTAAATAACATTTAAATACAACTGGATCACCGATGTCGTCTTCTCGAATGAGTTCCAGATGGTGGTAGTTGTCTATTTCGTTGAGGATTCTTCGTATAACTTGCTCTTCAGTCTTCTCATCTTCACTATCATCATCATCATCGACATTTTGTTCATTTGGCATAGATGATGAAGGGTCTGTATAAAATAACTACCCTGGAGGAGTGTTACTAACAATCCCACCGCTCATAGAGAATTGAGAAAACTGTGAAAATATTGGCATCGATGTCTGTGATCCAGATGGAGTTTGAGGTGTTTGTGAAGAAGCACCACCAGCCAAATAAGATGCATATGAATCATATGTTGGATCATTAAACATAGCCGTATATGAACCTCCATAGGTGTCATAAAACCCTGCGGGGTGGGCATGTAACCTTGTGGGCTAGGTATGTACCCCTGTGGGCTAGGAATGTAACCCTGCAGAGATGCCATATGAACTGGTGGGCTTGGCATATACCATTGCGGAGATGGCATCTGAACTAGTGGGCTGGGCATGTATCCCTGTGGCATCATCATCGGTGGATATTGATGTTGTGATAGTTCTTGTGGTGCGACTGATGCCGAATCGGTAGCGGCTTCTCTCCGTCTACGAGTCGGGAGACGATGATATTGTGACGGTGGACGTTAATCTCGGAGCCTATAAATGCTAACCCTCCGTGCTTCCGCCAAAAGTAGAAATATCTTTCCGTTTTCATTAAACCACTCCATATAGTTACCCGTAACCATATGACCAGTTTCAACGTAAAATTATCGAGAGGGCAAGTGTTCATACCGGTTCTCCCAAATCGCAATCCAATCTCTGTGTTTCACCTCCCAGTTGACATATTGTTTTCCTCGTCTGTCTATGTTATGCATGTCGTCTAAGTTCATAGGTGCTCCAGGAATATATTGCGTACAACAAAACTGACGGAGCACATGATCAACCAGATGCCACTCAATAATAACATAACATATAAGAGGTACAACTGACATCCAAACATCTAATGACCCACTCAGGTGGGGTAAGATGCAAGCCTTTACTTCATCGCTGGAATAAGGTATCCACTGAAATTGAAACTGAAACATAAATATATAATTCTAATAAATATAATATTCTAATTATATCAAGCATTTTAAATTAAATTATTCATATTTAAACAGATTTAAAAACATACCTCAGACCCAGCTTTTTTATCAATAAGTAAACGGATTTCCTCTAGTTCAGTAGAGATATCTCTATGATTCTTTCTTTTCATCGACCACTTATGAAATATAATATAAACTAAATATCACCCTATTTAAATAAAAATATTTAAATCAAAATTTAGTTCAGAAATTACCTCAATAATAAGGGGAATATGTATGGCTTATTAACGATCGGGCATAAGGAATGCATGCAGAACCACAACCATGATTAGAGAAGTAGGAGACATCCACCAATAGCAGTTTTTTAATAATTCTTTGCATGACACATTTCTCTAAAGAGAAATGCTAAAACTACAGCGCCCAACTATATCTTCCAGCTTCATCAAAATCAATAAGATGACATAACCACATACAATGCACCTGGTTGCGAGATTTGTCGGACATCAATATTCCTCCAATGATTCGTAGTATATAAGCCCGAGCACATGCCTTTGCTTCATCGTCAGAAGCATTTTCATTCAAAACTTCAAAATTAGCTTTTAGCCATAATAAAGCTATTCTACCTCCATTAAAATCTGGAGGAGCAGCTCCAAGAAACTCCATGCATATTAACTTCTAATCATCATCGGCCACACCACAGATAATATTTCTGTCAACGGGAATCCCCAAATACATTAAGACATCCTCCAATGTAATTGTACACTCTCCACATGGAAGATGAAATGTGTGTCTCCGGCCTCCACCTCTCAACTAATGCGAAAATTAGGATAGGTTCGAGTTTGTAACCGCCAATAACTTTTGCAATATACTCGAATTCGGCAGAAGATAGATACGGAAAATACGTGTTGGTTTCGGTATCTGTGGGTTTTTAATAAATACCTCCAAAATACCATCATTTTCCTAATTAATAAGCATTCCAAAAATTTAAAATTAATATAAATTCATGATAAATTTAAATTAAAAATAATAATAATAAACATTAACATAAATTTTAAAAAAATATTACCATATCACTAAAATGTTTGGAGATATGATTTGCATCTAATTGCAGCAGCATTTCGCTTTCCATTATAACTGTAGACAAAAAAATATAATTAGCACAAATAATAATTAATTAATAAATTTAAATAAATAATAATTATATAAATATTATTTTAATAAAAAAATAAAATATTATTTTTAAAAATTATTTATAAAAAATATAACAACTATTTTAAAAAATACTAATTTTAAATTTTTTTTGCTACTAATAAGAAATTTAAAACTCAAATGAAGAGAGAATTTGAGTTATATTAGAGAAGAAGAGATGTTTTGGTGTGAAGAATGAGGGGGGTTGAAGGGATTTATATAAGGGAGGAGGAGGGAAGGAGGAGCGTGTTAGGTGGGGAAAACGGGTGAGAATTTAATGTATTTTAATGAAAAGCGCCCCCCGGAAACGCGCCTTACCCACGTGACACTGAACCCCGTGAAATCACCCCCGAAACCGCGTGACATCCCCATCAACAGAAACCCCGCTAAAACACGTTTCTTGAAATGCGCCTTAGCGATGTGTCAATACAGTCAGCTTAAAGCCCGCTAAAACGTGTTACTAGGGGTACGCCTTTGTGTCACATCAGACGAAATGGTGTTAGTTAGAAAAATATTAATAAAAGGATGTTATTTAGGGTATATTAGGTTCATAAGGTGATTTTTAGGTCAAAAAGCCACTTTTCTAGAACTCAAATCCAGCTTTTGGATTGTGATCGTACTGGTGGAACGGTACATTAAACTTTTGCAAGTGCCATATTAAGATTATCCAGCCATTCCTGATTGGTTCGAGGCTTTTATTCTATTCTCAATGTAATATCTACACTATCTCTTGCGATCTCACTTCATTTTCGAATCCCAGACTCCAACATAAAGCAACACTTCAAACTATAAACTAATACTAATAAATTTTGGTGGCTGATTCACTGTCTTCCACTATTCTGCATTTACCAGTCGGTATATTTGAGCTGATCTTGTGTGGATAATATCAATCACCATTCCACTTTACTACTTATCTGTTACTCCTATAAATACACAACCTTGCAGTCCCACATTAACACAACCAAAACCTCAAAATAAAACAGTTCTCCCTTTCTGCAATAAAAAATTAGGAATTTTTCTGTCTTCAATGGGAGTGTCTGATCATTACGTTTCCTCTCTTTGTTGCGAAGTGAGAATCTTGGAAGCCAAAAACATAGAGCTGAAGTCCCATGGTAACCTTTTTGTCAGATACTATCTTCCTGCAGGGAACAACAAGAGAATTCAACTAAACACCAAGCAAATCTCCACTAAGTCATCCCAAATGATCATCTGGAACGAGTCATTCTCTTTGGAATGCTCAGCATCTGAAGCATCAGTTAAGTACCTGAAGCAACAGACTGTAGTTTTTGAGCTCCGAAGGAAGAAGAAACTGGGGAAGTCTGTGGTTTTGGGTAGAGCTGAAATTCCATGGAAAGCTGTTTTTGAATCACCGAACATGGAGATTGATGAATATTGGCTTGCCATGGTTTCGATGAATGATGAGGTTCTTGAAACTGGTCTCAAGCCTCCTTCAATACGTTTATCAATGAAACTGGTTCAAGGTCCAACGATGGTGGAGATGGAGAAGCAGAACAAGAGAAAACAAAGGTTGAAGAAGCATTGGGAAGGGTGTGGGTGCGAAGGCAGTGATGGAGGGTGCAACTGTGCTGCTGAATATGAAATATTTGCACTTGCAGCTGCCATGGAAGGACTACTTTAAAATAGTGGCCAAAGCACTGGGGATATTAGTATTGTTTTTCTTTTTGAATTGTATTTGTTTGTTATTATATTGTTGTTAATAGATTAAGCCAATTTCTTGAAGGCTTTGAAAAAATTATAAATTTTTGGCTTAATGACTAACTGGGCGCTTAAATAGTTTTTAAAAAGACAATTCAGTCCTTAAATTTCTATATCCAATTAAGCCTTTAAACTCAAAAAATTAATTATTGTAATCTTTTGACCAATAAAAGTCGTCATTGATTGCTATAATGCGAACGTAATAATCCACATGTGAATAATGATGTTTCATAATGGTTTAATTTGATTCTTTTAGAATGTTTAAGGTCTTAATTGATTAATTTAAAAAGTTTGATGAATTGTCTAATCATTAAAAAATTTAAAATTTAAAATATTATTATAATCTTAGGAAATCATATTTTTTTAATATTCGAATGTATCTCATCATTCTTAGATTACTATTATTTCTTGAACATATTTTAAGTTGAACCATATAGTTTCTTTTGTTTCCCATCAGTCTTATTTTAGTAATTAATTTTAACAAATAACGATTTAATCACTTGAGCTATCTATATATCTTATTTTGATCATAAATCGTTAACCCAGTTTGTTTGATGCCGTGATAAATTAATACTAATAAAAAAACCTTCAAATTTAACCTCTAATTTTTTTTTATAAAAAAAAATCAGTCTCTCTCTTTTTTATTTAAAAACCCTCATTATTACAAAAAATATCTTATTTAACAGCTAGACATCATCTTTGCTACCGCCACCACAAGTCCTTTGTCCAAACCCCAATGCCTTTGCATCCTCAATTCCTCACCATTCGTAAATGGTTACTGACAAAGCAACAAAATTTCATTTCTAATTCAATTAGAGCGTGTATGAGTTTACAAGGTAGAGCTTGTGAGCGGACATGTAGTCGATTAAGGGGGTTGGATGTTCGATTGAGTAACGCTAGAGTGCATAGGGCTGTCAAGGCTTAGGCGAGGGCCTAAGATCACAGTATTACATCGTAATATTTTTTAAGATTATCATGACATTGTAAATTGTATATGTATCAATAAAATATAATTATTTTTTTAAAATCACATCATAACATCTATAACAGCTCCAACAATGACATTGCAGTTGCAACTGTAACGGTAATCACAACTGCAATTTAGTATTATTCCTAGGGTTCCAATAGCGAGTGTTGTTCGAAGGGACGAGGGTAGGGGTGTAAATGAACATAACATTTGGTGAATTGTTTCGAAATTGTTCGTATAAAATTAATTTATGTTCGTTTGTTAAGATAAATAAACGAGTATGAACAAAAAAATTATGTTCATTTAATAAACGAACGAACACGAACAAAGGTGTGTTCAGTTTGTTTATGTTCACGAACAAGCTCGTTTATGTTCACGAACAAGCTCGTTTATGTTCACGAACAAGCTCGTTTATGAGCTCATTTATTTATGTTCATGAACAAGTTCGTTTACCCTATTTTCTTTTCCTTTTTTTTACATTTTAAATATGAGTGAAGGTAGTGACTAAATTGAACACATAATTAAAATTTAAATTTAAATTGTGAATTTCAAAGAGAGATTAAGCACTAGTGGTGTAATTTAACCATTTTTTAGCTTGAAAGGGTAAAACTTAAGATCATACAAACGAACGATATACGAACACTACAAAAATGCTAAATGAACACGTTCGTGAACATATAAATGAATAAATTTGTAAACATATAAACGAACACGTTCACGAACATTAGACGAATATGTTTGTGAACGATAAATAAATAAACGAACACGAACACGAACATCTTCAAAAATAAATAAAATAACACAAACACGAATCAAACGTGAACACCTTAAAAAAATAAACAAACAACACGAACATAGCCTTATTCGTTCATTCTCGGTTCATTTATACCCCTAAGTGGGGGTTACAACTAGGGCATCCTATACAAGGTCCAACGATGGTGGAGATGGAGAAGCAGAACAAGAGAAAACAAAGGTTGAAGAAGCATTGGGAAGGGTGTGGGTGCGAAGGCAGTGATGGAGGGTGCAACTGTGCTGCTGAATATGAAATATTTGCACTTGCAGCTGCCATGGAAGGACTACTTTAAAATAGTGGCCAAAGCACTGGGGATATTAGTATTGTTTTTATTTTTGATTTGTATTTGTTTGTTATTATATTGTTGTTAAGAGTTTAAGCCAATTTCTTGAAGGTTTTAAAAAAATTATAAATTTTTGGTCCAAAAGATTGACTCAATTTCACGACGAATGAGTTATCTGTAACACAACAAGAAAAAACAGTTTCATGCTAAAGTCTTCATGCCAAATTTCAGCTTTTTGACGAAGTATATTAGGCTAGAAGATGATCCAGTGGAAACTTTCCAACGTTTTGAGCTTGGTTTCAACTTCATGAGAAAAGATATCGTGCTCAGAATTTTCCCGTTCAAACTCAACCTCACGGCGAGAGAATCATTTCATGATTTAGTCCAAATTAACAAACCAGTCATGTCATCGGATTTCAACTCTACGACAGAAGATATTCAATAAGATGAGAATCAATTCCCATAATATATTATACTCAATGATACATTCATGATGGACGAAATTTGTGTCTTTTAATCTTTGCCATATTCTCGCTACACGATAATGGACAAAGAGGAGCAGCTGTAGACATATATTTTCATCCAACTCGGGTTATTCATTTAATAATATTAGTTTATTATATTATATAGTATTAATTTGTATCGTATAAATATGTTATGTTTATATCGTATACATAAATATATTATACTATATACTATAATATACTATTATTATCATTTCATATTTACTCATTTCTTTTGTTTTTTTTACAGACTTAGAAACCCAACAGTGATCCAACAAGCAGTAACCCGAGACGGTTCAGACCCGGATCGACCCCAAGGTGTAACTCGAATCAGTTAGGGTTTGAAACCCTAGCTTCTCACCATTTCCTCATCACCGCATCTCCCTCCTTCGAAGAGTCCTCACGCCGATCTTTTTTCTCGACACAACAATAAACCCGACGACGTGGTTTTCATGGACACCAACAAACAACAAACAAGCAGTCTTTTAGTTCGAGTAAAACTCTAGGAAAATCTGAACTAAAAATAGTAATCCTAGATATTATAAATACATGTAACTAGTCACAAGAAAGGACTCACGAGATACACAAGAAATATATGAAAGAAATACAAGGAAAATCAGAGCAAACATACGCAAGATCTACTTGTAAAACTCGAAAAGAAGGCAATAAAAAAGGTTTTTTACCTTGTTCGGTTGTTGTATTTGCATGTGGCTTGGGGGTTTCATTTTTTTCTCTTTTTGTTTCGAAAAGTCGATGAAAGTGGGGGAGGGTTCGAGATTTTTTTTCTCAGATCTAGACCTCCTCGTGGCTATTTTGCAAAAAATATCTTTGTTTTCGAAAAGGGGAGGGAAAAAGCTATCGAAAAATCAAAATTTTTGTGGATCATCGCCGATGAACGGCGGCCGACGTTGATCTACGGTGGCTGACGAGGCGGTGGCCGTCAGAATCTGGGTTTGGGGCTGTCGTGTTCTTCATTTGCTGAAGAACACTTTGAATGTTGAGAGAAAATGGGGGAAATGGTTTTGATCGAGTAAAGAGAGAACAAAAAAATGAAAAGTGTATTAGGTTTTTGGTATTTATATCAAACCCGTTTGACCCGATGACCCAATCCGCCCCTCAGATCCGCGTGTTTTCAATTAAAAGGGGGGAATTCCAGTTTTGGTCCCGCATTTTTTAAAAAGCTTATTTGACCTCCTAAATTGAACTCTTACCCCGATTTTACTTTGAAATTTATCCCCAATTTGTTTTCCTTTCAATTTACTCTTTTATTACTAATATTATTATATATATTTTTCTTTTTTATTTATTTAATTTAACATTAATATTTATCTATATATATATATTTACTTTTTCTTCCTTTTGTTTATTTTTTTCTATCATTTTTATTTATATATTTATTTATTTTTTATTTCTATTTTTTATATTTTTCTTGACATAACTTTTTATTTATATAATTTTTTTGTCTTTTTTATTATATATATATATATATATATTGTAGTTTTATTTTTTATTTATTTATGTTTTTATTTGATTTAATCTTCTTCTTTTCTTATTTCTTTTCTATTTTGTTTTGTTTTGTTTTGTTTTGTTTATTTATTTTATTTTACTTTATTTTTATTTTACTTTATTTTAATTTGTTTATTTTATTGTTTTACTTTTTGGAGATTATTTTTTTTATTTTTTAGGGTTTATGTTTTTTTTATATTTTTAATAGACTTTTATCATTACATTTTTATTTGATATGTGTTTTAATACGAGCACTTCGTTTTTATTTTTGTTAATTTCTTGACATGTTTTTTTCATCATAATTTAACCTTCATTTTTGTTTCCTTTTGATTTTGCATTTTGTTTTGTCTAACATTTTTCTTGACTTTTTTAAGGGAACGTTTTAAATCCATTAAAGGTAAGTAGTTTGGATCAATTTTTACCTTTGAATTTAATTTTCAATTTTCTTAATTAAGACAACTGAAAATTAATTAGTACCGAAAGAGAAGTTCAAGGGTGTTAACCTTTACTTGACTGTAACTGACTCCCGAATCCGACATATCTTTGATAAGATGCAGATCATGTAAGAAATCGAGGTATCCGATCAACCCATTTTGTCCTTAAAATAAATGATCGGTGGCGACTCTAACATTTTTATTTCAAGTCGAAACACAATTTCAGGCTCACCCGAAAAACGACTGCGACGAATTGTTTTATAATATTTGATTTCGTTTGATTTTATTTAATTAGAAAAATAAATCATATACATTAATGTCGCTAATAATGGTTCAAGTTGTAATTAAATCAATTGGTGATGGAGGAGTCAAAGCCATTAGGAGGCGACTTTTACATCGCAGGTCGTCTCTGATTCCATAAGTTTCTCTACGAATGGAATATTTGACCCATTTTAAGTTCGAATGAAAATATTTTATTTTATAAAATTGTTGATCTTAGTAAGACAAGAAACAACTCACATAATCAAACTTATAATTTAGGTTATCGTAAATTACATGGATACTCATCCAATTTAAAAAAAATGTTATAATCATATTACATTTAATTTCTATGCTACACACTTAATAGTTCAAAAATGTTTGGAATTGATTTTAAAACTTAAATTAATTCGAATTAAAATATTATCTACTATTAATATATTATAAATTTAATGAAAATAATTGTATAAATATTTAATATCATAAATTGAGCATAATACAAAAAAATTAAAAGTGCATATGAACTCTACACAAGCTACTGAAGTATTGTAAATCTTTGTCTCAGCTGTTCACTCTCTCGAAAGGATAACTATCATTTCCGTGATCATTTTTTATATTATGTTCCCCAGCTGTAAAGCATTGTAGATTTTAGTACAACGTAGTATCATAAACCAATAAAGTACTAGTTTTGCCCCAGACTTCACACCCACTTGTTTTTAAATTACAAGCACCCATATTAAAATTTGGGTTAACTACATAATTGATCACTTTTATTTATGTTTTGTATATTTTTCTTCATTAATTTTAAAAAATATAATATTTGGTCACTTTAGTTTTTATTTAATTAAGATATGATCATTGAAGGTTAATTGCCGTTACACCTTTAACGGATTGTTGACATGACACGTTAATAAAAGAGTTTAATTTTATTTTAACCCTTGAACTTTACATAAAATTATAATTATGGAATTTTTTACAAATTTAAAATGGTTTAGGGACAAATTCCATCTATTCTTCTTTTAATATGTTTTTCTTATCCAAATCTTAGCTTCTCCAAACTATCACTAAGCCTTAGCCTCTAATCAACATTACTCTAGCCGTCTACTACCACCCAAACACAACCAAAAACCTCAAAATCACTTGGCTATCATATACCCCAGCAAACCAAAACCAACACCTAAACTTAAAAAAAAAACATCAACCAATATAAGCCAAACAAAAAAGGGAGAAAGAAAATAGAGAAGATTAGTTAGTCATGGTGAATTTCCGATGATTGGAGCATCGGGCTCTCAATCCCAACGGTGAAAAGGTCCTATTTGAGGAGGACACCAACATATTTCAAAATCGTAAAGATCCAATGGTGAACGATGAAGATCCATAGATGAGAAGACGAAGAGTTTCGATGCAGATTTCTCAGCAATAGATCATTTTCCAACGAAACTAAGGTTTGATCAGAGTTCAGGAAGCCAAAATGAACACCCTGGTGTGTTTTCGAGTTTAACGATCACCGAAGACAGCGGTTGGAGCAATAGACAATAACTGTGATGCAACAACCGACAAAGAACTATTGTTAAATTTTATCTAAAATTCAAAGATTAAAATAAAAATTAAACCCTTTCATTAACGTGCCATGTCAACAATCCATTAAAGGTCTAACGACTATTAGATTTATCATACCTCAGTTAGTAAGTTAACGTTCAGCTCAAACTGCCGTTAATTTTTTTAACAAAAAAAACCAGTTTGGAAAATAATGAATAGTTGGATGACCGCTAATTTGTAATACATATATTAGTTTAATTAAATAACGTTAAAATTATAAGTATGAATCAGTATTAATTGGACAAATATAATTTAAAAATTATTAAATAACTAATTACTCCAAAATAAAGAGTGGGTACCTAATTGTATAAAAATATAAAAATTACGTATCTAATTACGTAAAAGAATTAGGTACCTAATTGCAACATTAAAAAAGTTTGATAACATGCTACACATATAACATATAGGCAAGATCTATATTAAGATTCTTCACACCAAGGAGCTTATCTTTTTGATCGTCAAGAGTGACTTACAACAGAGTCGGGATATCAACTCAAGGAATAAAATATAATTAATCACAGAAAATGAATATAAAATGAGAAAGATAAAATTAAAGTTAATATTTATTCATATATATATATACTTAAAAAAACATATATGTAATAATATAGAAAAAAAATTCAATATTACTTCGAGCGTGGATGAACAGAGTTAACGATGAATACATTAAATTAATATATAAAACATTAAATTATAAAGCACTAAACATATAATTATAAATTAGTTAAAAATATAAATTTAATTTAATTAAAATACAATATTTATAAAACATTAGTTTTTAGGGTAAACTATA